TCAAGACGGAAAACCTGTTACTTGACGCTAAAAAAACGTCAAGATCACCGATTTTGGCGTTGCTCGAGTCGAAGCTTGGAATCCATGTGAGATGACCGGTGAAACCGGAACTCTTGGATACATGGCCCCAGAGGTAAGCATCTGTTTCATTCATTTACGTATCATGGACTCAAGTCTGAGTAACATAGTCGGAAAATTACGATAGGTTCTTAACGGAAAGCCCTACAATAGGAAGTGCGACGTCTACAGCTTCGGCATTTGCTTGTGGGAAATTTATTGCTGCGACATGCCTTATCCGGATCTTAGCTTCATCGAGATATCATCCGCAGTTGTTGGAGAGGTTAGTTAGGACCTTATGTTATTGTTACTATATGTGTTGTGACTTAAACTCGACATTCTATCGGCAGAACTTACGACCGGAGATCCCACGGTGCTGCCCGAGTTCCTTAGCGAACATCATGCGGAAATGCTGGGACGCAAACCCGACAAACCGTCCCGAGATGGAGGAGGTAGTGACGATTCTGGAAGCAGTTAATGCAAGCCAAGGGGGAGGGATGATACCGGAAGACCGTTCACCGGGTTGCTTCTGCCTTGCTCCTCGTATGGTTAAAAAAATAGTTAGGCCTGCAAGAATTAAATGACTAGTGATTAACGTATTTGTTGTTATTCATTGAAGTCTCGAGTTCGAGCACCACACATATAGAAGTATGAGCATTCATTATCAAAGAGTTGAGAGTCTAAATAAATCAATTTTGAATCAAATTAAACGATAATCGAACTTTAAAAACTTTCTTAACCGTTAGCCGACCTAAAATTTAATTATCGATTGATTAATCAAATTAAATTTCAATTTTGTCAAAACTAAATAATGAGTACCCTTTCTCTCATGTATTCATTTTACAATTAATATTTAATGTTTGTCAAAGGATAAAGACTTGATTTTAGGTTAAAATCACTGCGGTTTCTCCGATGGTAACAGCCGAAATGAACGCGACACTCACTACAGGGTACACACCCGGCGAGATACATCACAAAGCCCCGGGAATAGCTAGCTTGCCAAGGAGTTTCTTTAGATCATTCTGGCCTATTGTAGGCGATGATATCATTAACCTTTGCATGGACCTGCTTGCTGGTCGAGAGAGAATGGAAAATGTGAATCATACTGTGCTGGTTTTAATTTCTAAATTAGCATAATCGACTTTGATGTCTCAATTTAGGGCCATTGCTTTATGTACTGTGATTTACAAAGTTGATTCTAAGGTCCTGGTTAATCGACTGGGTCTATTGCTTCCCAACTGTATTGATGATAACCAAAGCGCTTTCATCTCTGGTCGCATGATCACAGATAATGTCATTATTGCACATGAATTTTTTCATTACCTTAAGCAAGGTCAATCGAACTCCTCTCGGGGTGCTACTCTCAAGTTGGACATGGAAAAGACTTACGATAGAGTGGAATGATCTTTTCTTCATGCGGTGCTCCTTCGTCTGGGGGTCGCTGAATAGTGGGTATCTTTGATTATGAAGTATGTTTCTAGTGTTTCATACCAAGTTCGCATCAATGGTTGTTTATCTGAAAGTTTCTATCTTACGTATAGTCTCCGACAGGGAGATCCCTTATCTTCATTTCTCTTTGTTCTCTGTGCTCAAGGATTGTCTTCGGTGTTGCATTCAGAACAACTCCACAACCGTATTTCGGGCCTTAGAATCAGTCGTCACGGGCTGAGTATTACTCATTTTTTTTACGCAGAATTTCAAAGGATTCGGGAGGTACTTGACCAATATGAGATTTATTCTGGGAAAAAGGTTCGTATGTTCGGATGGAGGGCAGCTCGTGAGGCTCTCCTCGTTGGCTGTCGGCTCTCCCATGTTGATGCCCCGAATGTTCGATGTTGTTGGTGTTGTGCTCTGGATGAGACAGTTGCTCATGCTTTGATGCCGCTCTTGGTGATCGTCCCTCGTTTGCTTGGCGTAGTATCTATTCAACGCTACAAGAATTACGACCGGGTTTTCCTTGGCGTATTGGTATGAACAGCTCAGTGCCCGCCCACCAGGAGCGATGGGGCGGAATTCACCCGGTTCATCTCTCTTCCTCTTATGCCGATGGTGGTTCACAACCGGTCCTTTGTGGGGAGTTCATGATTCGTCATTCTTCCCACTGAAATCATGCTTTTGTTCAGAGCGTGTTCGCCTTTGAGGATGCTCGGGAAATTACGAACTGTCCTATATCTCCCATTTAAAATTAATTATTAACGTAATATATAAAACAAACATGATCGTATCAGCATAAAAATGCAGGGTAAACTACATATTTAGTACCAAAATTATCAGTTTTGGTTTGTTTTAGTACCTAAACTTTTAATTTTTTAAAACCATACGTAACGTTTAGTTTTTGTTTCATTTTAGTACCATAACATTACAAATTTAACACGTTTAATACCTAAACTATCAGCTTTGATCCGTTTTAATTGGTAACTAAACTTTCAATTTTTTAAGAACTTAACGTTAAATTTTGAATGGTTTACTAAAATGAAAAAATGACTAAACTTTAATATGATTTTGAAAATATTGAAAGTTTAAGTACTAAAACGAACCAAAACGGATAGTTTAAGTACTAAATGCTCAAGAATAAAAACAAAATCAGCTAATTTTGGGACGAGATGAGCCAACGATGAAAGGCATTTGTTGTGCCAATATGGATTTCACTAAGTATTCTTATCTTTTTTAATATTTATTATCATTTTCAAGTCACCTCAATTAACAATCATTATATTTGTTTTAAGGGTAAAGTATAAAAATGGTCCCTTGATTATAGGGTGATATTTTGTTAAGTTCTTTTATTATTAAAAATTATAAAATGATCTCTTGATTATAGGACGTTGCTTTGTTGAGTCTCTGACTATTAAAAGTTATAAAATAATCACTTGACTATTCATATGTTTCAAATCATCCTTTTCTGTTAAAAATTGATGGTCGTCTAAGCTGGATGTTAATCTATATATTAACTGAGATATGATAAAATTTGATTCTAGAACCGTTTGAGCTATATTTTGTGAATGGATTCTCAGTTTACATTATTTTGTCAAGCTAGTTCTTCAAATATTATGTTGTCAAGCCAGTGCTTGAAAACAACAACGGTATAGATTAACATAATTAAAATATGATTTTATTATATCTCAGTTAACAAGTTAACGTCCAACTCAGACGACAATTAACTTTTTAACGAAAAATGATGAATTTGGAACATATGAATAGCCATGCTATCATTTTATAACTTTTAATAGTCGAATGACTCAACAGAACAATACCTTATAGTCAGAAGACTATTACTTTTTATAATCGGAAGACTCAACAGAACAATGACGGGACTTGATACTTCTTGTCGGCCAATTACATCTAACTTTATATTATACATGGAATAAAATCTATTTATAATGTATAAAACTCATTAGTTTTATACGAAAATATTAAATGAATTTAAATGGACGACTATAATTAAAATTGTATTCAAATGCCATCTTTTTTCTTCCTATTTTTTTAGAAAAATATAATAATAATAATTATATTTTAGAGTTAATTGCATCATGTGTTCTCAAAGTATAACTCTCATTTTAAATTGGTCTCTTAACCTTTAAGTGTTTTAATTTTACCCCTAAACTATGACTATAATTATAAATTAGACCTCAAACTTTTGGACATTTTAATATCATCCCTAAATTATGACCTTTATTCTAAATTGGTGCCAAACTTTTAGAACATTCCAATTTCATTCCAAACTATATGTATATATTAATCACACCCCTTGTTAATAAATTTGTTATGCCAAGTTATATTATTATATGTTTGAAAAAACAAAAATTTAGGTTAAGTTATGGTTGAAACTAATTATATATTTGGATGAATTTGGGAAATTGGAATGTTAAAAAAATTTTGGGGACTAATTTAGAAAGAGGATCATAGTTTAGGGATAAAATTGAAATGTTTAAAAGTTTAAGGATTAATCTAGAATGAGATTCATAATTTAGGGATGAAATTAAAACATTCAACAGTTTAAGGACCAATTTAAAGTGAGAGTTATAATGCTGACTCAATCGAAATGATGAAATAGCCAAGAGGGGGTGAATTGGCAATTAAAAAATTTGGTGGAAGCTTGAAAAAAAATAAACAAACGAACACAAGAATTTAGAGTGGTTCGACTTTATCAACAAAACTCTACATCCACAACCTTAGCTATCCACACTAAGGATTTCCATAAATTCACTAATTTGTATCTACCTTTGAGGATAAGGTGTAACCTTACAAATCCCTCAAGAATTATGCCCCAAATTATTGAGACACTCTCTCAAAGAGAAAATTACAAATTGCAAACTTATAAAATCTTCACTGTGAATGTGTTTGCACAATTCAAAAACAAATAAGAACACTTGAGAAATGAATACAAATGAGTACAAGAAGTGTTATTTGAAAGCAAAAAGAATATTGAAGAATGTTGACTTGATTTGGCTTAAATTTGTTGTTTATGACTTTCTCTTTTGTCTCTTATCTTCACAAATGGATTTTGATCTTGTTTATATACTCCCTCAATCAATTTCAACCGTTTGAATTATTGTGGGAGTGAATAGAGTCGTTGGGGGGCAATTTCCCACATTAAATGTTGTTCAAAAGCTTGTAGTATCGATACTCCTTGCATTAAATACAAAAATTTGATCGTTGGGAAACTATGGTATCAATACTGTCACAAGAATATCGGTACTACTATATTCTGTAGTATTGATATTGTACATAATATCAGTACCATTTTAAAACCTCCATTATTGGTTTAAATATCATTATGTTGTTATTTATATTTATCCCCAAAAATTGTAGCTTAAATCTTAATTCAGTTCCTGCATGTCAATACAAATATCAATTTAAGAATTTTTAAGTTTAAATATTAATTATATAACCCATTTGTATATGAAAGTAGTTAAGTACTATTAAATATAGTTTATTCTAATAATTTAAGACGAAAGAAACAACTTATTCTTTCACCCAAAGAAGAAATTATACATAAGTATTTGTTCTCCATAAAGAAAGGATTTCATTGGGACTGTGGGCAGCTGCCCTCTATGTAAATCCGATTCTTGAACACATACATTGTGCACCTCGCAAAAACCCGAAACGCCTTTGAGACGATACAATTTCGAGTTAGCCTACATCTCGGGGGAAGCCGGCTTTGCTAATTTGTCCCCGGACTCGTAGTCGACAAGTGTGTTTTCCTTGACCAACACTCTTGCTTCGAGTTCATCGGAACAGCTAAGTTAACTTGATGAACATCATCACTCATTGTATCACTCCCTTTTAGAGGATTGACTGTATTGTTCATCAGGAGAACCTGGTGCTTTTTTCATTTCCATCTCTGTAGTCTCTTCAACAGCAAGCTTAGTTTTGACATCAACGTTGTTTCCTGCATCGACAGCTTCCATTTCACGTTCTTCACGGGATCGAATATTTTTCTCGATAGCAAAGTCTGATGCTGTTTTATTTCCTTGGTCTACTTCATTATTGTCCATAGAGGTAGTGACGTTTTCACTGTCCGAAGCAGGTTCGATTGCCTTATTCCCTGACCGTGAATCAGGCCTATCATCGGATTGATTATCTTCAGCAGGATAATCCAGTCCTGCCTTATTCTGCATCTCATGCGTGTCATGGCTTGGGCTAGGGTGAGCATCATATTTTATATCTGCCCTAGATACATTCCTCGTGTCCGTTTGATTATTCATAAGTGTAGTTTCGTCATTAGGTTCCGGGGATGCATCTGAAGAACCTCTGGTTCCACAAGTATCATTTACAGACACGTTTGGACATTGGGAATTCGAGTCTGTAACTCTAGTTTCACCATTTATCCTACCCGAATGATTCAAATCACCATCCGTATCATTCCCAGATGATGAACCGGGTTTAGATCCGTTAGCCACCTCGGGTGTGATTTGCTCATTAGATATTGGCTCAGTTAGCTTAGCACCTAAAGGAACAGATTTTGAGAAGGTTAAGAACAGTAAATAAAACACAATGGAAAACAATTGACAACAATTGCACTAATTAAAACCTGCGTCAGATGTCGTGTTTTCAAGCTTCAGCAGAAACTTCTGCAGCATATCTATACCCGGGAAGACCAACATATTCATGGACCTCATTTCTTGCTTAACCGAATCCTCCAGAGCAGTGAAACCAAAAACCCCAGTCCATGTAGGCGTAACTTCAGCAATTGCAGGGATGACTAGTTTGTGAACCTTGAGAGAACGGAGAGCCTTCAGAAAAACAAAAGAACGAACAAAATCAGTGATGCAAGGAACAATCGAGTTATGCGTAAGGCTAACAAGATATACACACACAAACATAAACATATAAATACAATCCTTCCTCACAGCTTACCGACTCAATAGCACAGAAAAGCCATCGGAACATTCCCTGATGCCTGTATGCGTGGCGTGTGCCAATGAATGGCATCTCTGCTAGTTGAATTCCATGGAACCTACACACGGCAATAAGATATCAAATTAGTTGGCATTTATTTAAATGATAGATAATCCAGATGAGTGCACCAAATCCAGACAACCAGTAATATCTACAGGAAGAAGTTAAGTGAGCGTGTTTTGTTAGGTAATTCTGGTCTTCACTATGTTTGTCCTACATAATTATTGATCCAACCAAAGATAACCAACTGCACGAGGGGGAAAAGGCACAGCATATCGATCCCTAAATGTTATTTACCTGATCGATGCTGCAGAAATTATTTCATCGCCTCTCTCCAAAATAACCGTGTAAAAGCCACCATAATTCAGCCGGTTGAAGTTTGATCTTTAAAGAAAAAACAGCATATTGCAACCAGTTAAGACATGTTCAAAAGAGAATATTACGCCACGGTAACTACAAGTATAATCCAGGAAAGGAATAGAGAACAGAAGAATCACCAAGCAGAAAATGATAATGGATAAAAAGATTAACCTATATCATAACAAAGCAAGAGTTCAATATATATATATTTAAAAATGTGTACAATCACTATCGAACAGTTCTCTAAAAGCATATCATGACAAGAAAGTAATAAAAATATATATCAAACATAGTCTAAATACTTTAAAACTCAGTGCGATCTGCTATACAAGGACTACTATGGAGAAACTAATAAGACCAACATCCTTTAAAACTCAGCAACCAAAATGCTTACCCGCAATTATAAACGACATTATTTACTATGTTGATCCCACTCCTCCTGTCAACAATGGGCAAAAAGCATTCATCCATCACAGTCAGAGCAACAGCTAGTTTAGAATTGCATTCTACCCTTTGTGGAAGTCCTCTGGCACATATATCTGATTCTGATTCTGTTCTTCGAATAAGAGACCATGAAAATCCTCCTTCTAGTTCATGTTTGACCCCTAGATACTTCTGTAAATGCTCAAAGAGCTGTAGAAACAACAAAGGCATTTCTCAATGTTTCACATGTCAAATGGCATAATCTACGATCTAGCAGAAAATCCATATGCAAACGGCAAACCTTGATGAACTATTTATGTTTAACAACATCATGGTTAAAGAGTGAATGCCACATACAAATAAAGTTCCATTGCCAACAGGATTCATAGTAATATTTTAGTTAGCTACAACAATAGCAACAAATGCCAACACCATCATACAAAGGGCATGATTGCTTCTATAGTAGATTTTTCTCATTTTCTTGGTTTACATCAAATCACAATATTCAGCATTCCAACAAAAGAAGAAAAAAAAAATCTTACCTCTCTGCATGTTTTCCCACAAAAAGGAATAACTAAAAGGTTGGAATCAATATGAATCTCATTTGTCACTTTGATGCATGATTCATGGTCTGCAAAAGTGAAAGGATCAGAATTTTCTGAAAAGAAATCAAGAAGAGGAAACTACACAGCAACTTCAAACTTTAGGAACACCAAAAAGAAGAGAATGAATACATCTTTTCTCGCATAGGCTGCAAGTGAGAAGCACACAAACAGTTACATCATCCTCTTGAGCAATGCTGCTGTCGTTACCACAAAATTTGCATATACAATTTGGACAGTGCCAATCACCAGCTGGTAGAAACTGTAAAAGTGTATATAAGAAAGCTACGTGAAGCCATTAAGCAGAATTGTTAACAAATTCAAAATATATATTTTTCAGATAATAAATATTCTAACCAGAACAAACTTCATCTTTTGGAAGGCAATTAAAAGCCAATGGTTTCAGGTCATCAAAACATAAGTCAAAGCAATTAATATATCTAACAATCATAGTTGAAAATTTCTTGATGGAGGCCGCATTAAGCCACTGAAAAATCATTTCTAATAGTAAATCCAAAACACTGCTGATATTATCTCAGGGAGCAGGTCCTAAGAACAGTCGACAAGGAGAAACATTCGGGAAAAGTAGTGTCTTCTAAAAGTTACAGAAAGGAAATTGGCACAAGCCTTCATTTGTCAAACAAATTACATGTCCAACATATTTAGGGATCCCAATCCATAAATCAATAGTTAATACCTTTAAAAGAACATAACCATATGCTGAAAGGAAGAAATTGTATCGCCTAACAACATATTTCGGGTCACTAAAGTATTCCCTAAATTCTAAACACTAAGAACAATCTAATTAAAACATGCATAACCTGAATAACTGGCCAGAGGTCTACAAGGAAAACTTATAGGAAAAGAAGCAAACAAGAGAGACTCAAGTCACAGCCATTTATAAATGTAAAAATTATGCAGAAGTACCTCTATATTTAGGCAACTCTGATGAAATGTTGAGGGGCAACTGTCACAACAAATCAGATCCCCCCCATCTCCACAAATGCCACAGGTATCATCATTCGGGTCATCACCATTTACATCTACAGAATGAAAACCAATCTGCTCAGACTCTACTTGTCTGTTCCATGCATCTATTTGGCACTGAAGGAGAGAAACACCAGTATCCAAATATATATTCTGAAATGGCTGTCGCAATTTGCTTCCAGCATGAATCTCAAATTTGGAAACTGTAAGGATTTTACTACAACAAACACAGTGGATTCCATCCCCTGTGATCCAGCCCTCTAGCATCACTTTTGTCCGCCTACGGTTCATATACCGCACCTTTTGGCTCAATTGCACAACCTCAGAATCAATCAGCCAGGCAAGAAGTGTTCTTTTCCCATAATATGGAACAAAGTCATCACCCACTGAACTCGCAGCCACATTAGAACCACGAACCAACAAGGTGCATCTGCCAAGTTTTCTACTTTTTCTTCCATGAATATGACGATAATTGGATATAGAGGATGTTTTTTCATAGCTATCATGCACCTGGAGAGACTTTTGACCTTTTGCATATCCACTGAAGGCATGATTATAATTCATCCTACGTTTCATTGACTTACTCTTCATTAAGGAACTTAGTTTCTCCTCATGACTCAAGCTATCCATACTCTCATCTTCATGCCTGGTACTTGAAGATTTCTTACAGTCAGGTTCTTGAGCATCCTCACTGCCACTTTCATCTTTTCGCTTATTTTTCACCTCTCTTTTCATCTTCTTTCCAGTTTTCCTTGTTAATTGGCTGAGTACTTCATCTGATAATGGTGTAAATGCAGGACCATCGCCAGATGGTTTGCGCAGATTGCCCTCATCTAGCTGCTTTTGAAGTGCATCATATGCCTTGATGATGGACCAGTACGCGGTTCCAGCTGGGTTGATGTACACTGCATCCAAGTAATCCCTGTTCCTCCTTGGTCTATAATCTATTGTCCAGCCTGCTTCCTGAAGCATCTCCCGTATTCTTTCACGTAATTTCTGTTTCTCTGTGCCACATCCACGCCTATTTTTTCCTTCTTTGATTCTGGTAGGCTGAAGCTGCTCAACTTGATCTTTCTCCTCTTTGCTTCTTACCTTCTTTTTCCTGTTAGAAGTTTCTTTACCCTTTGGTCGTAGCTTCAGAAACGTATCACTGTCCTCAGAATCAGAGTCAGTGACCATATTCTTCATAGTTGTTGGTGTCGTTAGCATATTCGTTTTCCTTTTCTCTTTCCTACCAAATGAAACAGGCTTCTCAAGAACTTCGGTATCAGAGTACAACGATGAACAGGCATGCAAGTTTCTCCGAATTCTATCATCAATCCTTGAACCCCTCTGGCCTTCCTCAGCTTCCAAGTGATCAACATTTTTCAAAGTCTCGAAAACCTTTTTTTTCTTGTTCACCATTACCTTCAAAACACCATTTTTGCCTTGAACCCTGATGGGTTCATCTGAATCAGCCATATACCTCTCCCTCAATAACGGATAATGCATCAGAGTGCCATCCCTATCCTTCCTAAACCTGTTTCTATCATCATGATCACCCCAACTCATCCCTTCACTTTTATCGAAGTACAAATTCTCGTTCTTCTTCTTCTTCTCATGAAAAGCATGCCTACTAGGACCACTCTCATATTCTCTCTCAATACTCATCCGACCAACTGCAGGCATCGAACCAGACAGTCTCCTCCCGCCAACCTCTTCCCCACCATAATTAAATCTGCTCCTTCTCATAATCATATCCTTTTCAAGTCCGTCATACTCATCAAAGTCAAACACCTCTAACCTACTCCTCTTACTCTCACTCAAATCCTCCCCATTCCAACCAAATAAACCTTTGTCACTTGGCCTCACCCTCTCCTCCCTACTCCTCTTCCTACCAATTTCACTCTCTTCATAAGCAGCTAAACCATTACAAACTTGAATTGTTTCCATCCCAGCACGACTTCGAGGTGGCATAACTAGTTCATCGCTAGAACCCGAATCACACATAATCATCCTAGACCTCCTCTTATATGTTTTAGGCTCGTGAATCTCGCGGGTCCCTGCGGACCCGGCTCCACCAGAACCATCCCCTTTCTTCCTCACAATCAAACACCCCGAATGGATCCTATTCTTCACCACACCCGAATGCTCACCAGATCTCAATCGCTCTTCCATCAAAATGGAACCGAAAAAAGAAAAACCTAAATTCCAATTATTTTCCTCAAATAATCACAAATTCAAAACATAATCCGTTAAAGACAGAAGAACAAAACCCAAATCTCTCTGATCAACCAGATCTGTACTGAAAAACTCCCAGAATAAAAAAAAGATAGATAAAAACCAGACTGAATTAATATCTTTTTTTTAAAAAAATTGTTTAAATGATTCAAACGAGATAATGTCTTGGATGAAAAGTGATAACTCGCTGTAGACAAAACGGGGTTACCTTTTCCGGCAATTCACCGTCGTTAACTGACGCAATTCTCCGACGAAGAAAACGAGAGGAGAAAAGGTTGAGAAAGAATCCAAGGGGCAGAGAGAGACAGAGGGAAACACATATATACTTCGGCTTTTGATTATATAAAATTAAAAGAAATAACAGAGGAAACAAATCCCAAAGCTGCTGTGAAATTAATTATAACTAATTAAATTATGATGATTAATTTATTTGTCTTTATTTCTTTTTTCATCTTTTACATTTCCTTGTTAGAATAAGAACTCTATGAATTTAATAAAATTTTAATTTAGTCCCAAATTAATTTTAAAAATCCATGACTTTTTAATTAAATTTATAAATTTAGATTTAATTTTCAAATAATGAAACACGCTCCAAAATTAAACAACATCATTATCTAAATATTAAAAAATTATATAATTTTAAAATAAAATAAAATATAAAAATATTTTATTTTTTAGATGATGATGTCACATAATTTAGAATATTATAGCATTCTATTTTAATGGAACCCTATATTAATAAAATAAATAAATTCAAAGATCAAAGTGAGAAAAGTTAAAAGTTCCAAAAGAAAAAAAAAATTGATGACCCTTATTACATACCCATATGTAATAAGGTAAGGGGGAGGTAAGATAGTAGGTTACCCCCAACGCCGGGTTGAGAGCAGTTTCCGTGGGAGACCTCCAAATTATGAAATACCCTCCGTGGGACTCGATCCCACGACCTCAAGGTTAAGAACCTTGTGCTCTACCAACTGAGCTTGATGGTCATTTCTAAAAGTTCCAAAAGAAGCGTGTGAAAATTTTAGAGACCAATCTGAAATATATTGTCTAATTCAAGGACTAAATGTCTTTTTATCCCTTTCATTTTGGTTGTTTAAGAGAAGAGTGGGGTAGGGATGGCAACTCAACCCGAATCCGACGGGTTCCGACCCGATCGAGTCGGATTTTTTTTAAAAAATTTCGGGTTCGGGTCGGGTCGGGTTTTTTTTAAATGTACTGTTCGGGTCAGGTTTAGGGTGAAAAAAATCCGACCCGACCCGACCCGAAAAATATATAAAATTTTATCCTATATATTTAGGGATAATTACAATAATGTCCCTCCATATATAATTTTTTTCAATTAAGTCACTGTTTTCATTGAATAAAATTTTTTTTATTATTATTTCGGGTCGGGTCGGGTCGGGTCGGGTTTCTAAGTCATATATTCGGGTCGGGTCGGGTCACGGGTGAAAAACCCTTTCTTCTCGAGTCGGGTGGCCCAAAAACCCGACCCGACCCGACCCATTGCCATCCCTAGTGGGGGGCCTCGGGGCAGTAAGGTACGACACCGTTTTTGCACATGTCAGATAGGGCCCACCATTTCCGTCTGCTTACATGATAACTCTCGTTACTCACTTTCACCGTTTTTAGTTTTACCGTTCGACAGTTTTCAAGACCTTTTTTTCAGATTATTCAAATCATTATTTATTTGGTTTAATATAAGAATAACTGTATAAATTAATTTTTTATATTTATTTTATTAAATATACGTGTCTAATATTTTTTCGTTCTATTTTTAGGTTCTTATCGTTAAAAAATTCGTCAAGTGACATATATCATGTTTATATTTTTTTACTCCTTTTAAATAAAATATTATTTTAAAAAATTTAGAAAATCTAAACATGACACGTGTCACTTAACGGTTTTTAAATGTAAACACTTAAAAGTGTAACATACAAAATATTAGAAACTTATTTTTAACAAAAAAAAATAAGTAGATACCAAAATTTAATTTTAAGTATAGTATGGGTACTTATTTTTATATTAAACATGTGGTTTTTTTATTTTTTTATAAAAGTTTATATTGGTTAAAGAAATATTGTAAAGCAATATATTTAATATATTTATTTTATTAAATAAAATAAATGTTAATAATTCCTATACTTTTATAAGTTGGGCTGGAAAAAAAATCATAATTTTAAACTTCAGTTGAAGAAAAAAATAGTTAATTGTATCATATACATTTTTTTAAATATTTTAATTTTTTTCTAAAATACAACTCGCATTCTAAATTAATCTTTAAATTTTTTAATATTATAATTTTATTTTCAGATTATGATTTTTATTCTAAATTAATCCTCATTTTTTTAAAATTTCTCAATTTAATCCATCCAAATATATAATTAATTTCAATCATGATTGAACTTAATTTTTCCAAGCATATAACAATATAATTTGATCTAACGAACTGAAGATGTATTAATATATATTGATATTTTGGGAGAAAATCAAAACATTCAAAAACTTGTAAACCAATTTAGAATAAGTCATAATTTAAGGATAAAATTAAAAACATTGAAAAGTTTGAGAATTGATTTAGAAAGAGTCGTAAATTGAAAATAAAATTAACTCGTTCAAAAGTTTATATACCAGGTCATACGATCAAATTAACTCAAAAAGTTAATTTTTTTTTCTAGTCACTTGCGGTAATTACATCATACAATCAAAAGTAAAGGATTACAGTGATTCGACTTCGACTCTTGATCATTCATACATACTATGCTCCTCGGAATAAACCCGAATGATCTCTGTGAAGATCCAATCTTGATTTAGTTTCCATCTCTATTGCATCAGGATTTCTTGGGGGAAGCCGGGTTTACTAATCCGTCCCCGGAATCAGAATCCGCAAGTTCATTCTCTTTAATCGAGACTCGAACTTCAAACTTCATCGGACGCATCTGCACTGTCTACTCGATGAACGTAAGTACTCGTATCACTTCCTTTAGAACATTGACTGTTATGTTCATCAGGGGAATCGAAAACTGTATCGCTTCATTTAGAAAGTTGACTGGTATGTTCTGCAGTCTCTTCAACTGCATGCTTAGTTTTGGAATCAGAAGCAGCACCAATATTGTTATCTTCTTTGACAGCTTCCGGATCACCGTCTTCTCGAAATCGAGTATTTTTATTGATGGCAGAATCTGATATTGTTGTGTTTCCCACGTTATAGTTCGTAGAGGTATTTTCACTGTCAGAAGCAGATTCAGTTTCCTTGTCCCCTGACCGTGAATCGGTCCCATCATCGGACTGATTATCTTCAGCAAGATAATCCCATCCTGCATTATTCTGCATCTCAAGCCTAGATTCATTCCTCGAGTCTGCTGTTTGATAGTCGGCGAGTGTAGTTTCGCCATTAGGTTCCGGGGATTTATCAAAAGAACCACTGTTTCCACAAGTATCGTTTACAGAAACATTTGGAAATTCGGAATCTGAATCAGCGGCTGCGGTTTCACCATTTATTCGACTAGAATGATGCAAAACACCAACATCGCATTCTTGAGTATCAATCCCAGATGACGAACCGGGTTCAGATCCGCTAGCCACCTCGGGTGTGATATTTCCATTAGATCTTGGTGCAGCTTGCTTAACACCTAAAGGAGCAAATTTTGTGAAGTTAAGAACAGTAAATAAACATAATGAAAACAAATGGCAACAATTGTATTAACTAAAACCTGCGTCGGTCATCAAGTTCGCATCCGTGTTTTCTAACTTCAGCAGAACCTTCTGCAGCATAGGTATACCCGGGAAGACCAACATATTCAAGGACCTCATTTCTTGCCTAACTGATTCCCCTAGAGCAGTGAAGCCAAAAACAGCAATCCATGTATGTGTAAGTTCAGCAGTTGCAGGGATGACTAGTTTGTGAACATTGAGAGAACAAAGAGCCTTCAGAGAAACAAAAAGAACGAACCAAGTCAATAATGCAAGGAACAATAGAGTTAAGCATGAGGTTGACATGATATATATGTATATGTACATGAAGGCACTTAAATTAAATGAATCCCTCCTAACAGCTTACCGACTCAATAGCACTGAAAAGCCGTCGGAACATTCCCTGATGCCTGTATATGTGGCGTGTGCCAATGAACGGCATCTCTGCTAGCTGAGTTCCATGGAACCTACATACGGAAATACAATACCAAATTGGTAAACAGTAACTTGAATGATAGATAACCAGATGCATTCATCAAATTCACCCGACCGGTAAAATTTACTCCAAGAAGTCGGGTGAGTATGTTTGTTTAGTTATTCTGGCCTTCACTATGTTTGGCAATTTAATAGATCCTACCAAAGATAAATAACACCGAGGAAAGGTGCAGCATACAGATGCCAGAATGTTAATTACCTGATTGATGCTGCAGAAATTATTTCATCGCCTCTCTCCAGAATAGCAGTGTAGAATCCAGAATAATTTAGACGGTTGAAGTTTGATCTTTAAAGATAAAAGCAGAAAAATTAAAAAAAGTTGAATAAAATAATATAAAAAATTGCTTAATAAGATATATATCCCTCAGATCCTTTAGAAAACTGTTATATAATATATAGAACTAGAGCATACAATCACGATCCAACAGTTCTCTGAAAGCATAACCATAATCTGACCAGAAAAATCATAATGTGCATACTGAAACATTCTGTTGACCCAAACCCAGAAATACCTCTTCATACTAAATATCAAACATAATCCAGATAAACGTAGTGGGAAAATTCAAAAATGAAAGGATAAAATAAATAAAATCCATTTCACAAATTAGAACAAGACTAATGATTAACATCATCGAGAGACGGAAAAAATAGCATGATCTGCTAAACAAGCACTACTATGGAGAAACTAATGAGACAAACATCCTTCAAAATTCAGCAACCAAAATGCTTACCCACAGTTATAAAGGACATTATTTACTAAGTTGATCCCACTTCTCTTGTCAAGGATTGGCAAAAAGCATTCGTCCAGCACAGTCATTGCAACAGCTAGTTTAGAATTGCATTCCACCCTTTGTGGAAGCCCTCTGGCAAATATATCTGAATCTGCATCTGTTCTTCGAATAAGAGACCATGAAAATCCTCCTCCTAGTTCATGTTTGACCCCTAGACACTTCTGTAAATGCTCAAAGAGCTGTAGAAACAACAAAAACATTTCTTAAGAAAGTGTGCCTTCACATGTTTAAACATAGTGCTTTCATAGAGTAGCCGTGAACCAGAACAAAACCATGAATGCTTCCTCGATCGATTTCCCATTTTCTTGGTTTACATCTAATCACAATATTCAGAATTCCAACAGGAGAAAAATATATTACCTCACTACATGTCTGCCCACAGAAGGGAAGAGTCAAACTGCTGGATACAGTATGAATCTCTTCTGTCACTTTGATGCAAGATTTGTGGTCTGCAATAGCGGAAAGGATCAGATTATTTTTGAAAATAAACCAAGGAGAGGAAACTACAAAGGAAATTAAAACTTAAAAGAATAGAGAACGCCAAAAAGAAGAGAAAAGGTACATCTTTTCTCGCACAGGTAGCAAGTGAGAAGGGGACAATCTGTTATAGCATCCTCTTGAGCAATGCCGCTGCAATTACCACAAAATTTGCATATACAATATGGACATTCCCATTCAACCTCTGGTAGAAACTGCAAAAGTGTATATATAAAAGCTAAGTGAAGCGACTAAGCAGCATTGCTAACAAGAACAATCCAAGTTTGTGTTCGACCACTAAGCAATATAAGTCAACAGGCAGAAAAGGCCAAAAACGCAAACTTTCAATCAGGAGTACAAATTCAACTTTCTTTCTAAAATAGTAATGCTGTAAGAAGGATAAACTATTTTCACCTCATCTTTTGGAAGGAAATTAAAAACCAATGGTGTTCTGGTCATCAAAACATAAGACAAAAAGCAATTAATATATTTAACAGTCAATGTTGATTTTTATTTTTATGGAGCAGCATTACGCCACTGATAAACATTTCTTGCATTAAATCCAAAACATTGCTGATACAAACTCAGGGAGCAGGTCCTAAGAACAGACAGCTAGGAGAAAACATTCAAAAGAGGGCATGTCTTCAAAAAATTGTAGAAAAGAAAGAGACCCATGCATTCACATGTAACATAAATTACATGTCCAACTGCTAATCAGAGGACACTTCAGAATGCCCTTCAATTCTGTTTGGCTCTAATAGAATTTAGGAATCCCTAAACATAAGATCAATAGTTAAAGCCTTCAAAAGAAGGTAATGTTCTGCTTAAACAAAGAAATTGTATTAACAAACAACGTATTTAGACTAAGCTCTGGTCATTTACTCCATTCAATTAACACAACCGCTATTTCTCATGAGGAAGCAAGAAGAGAGTTGGCCTCAGGTCGGTTTTTTTTTTTTGGGGGGGGAGGATTGACCCAGAAGTCTGAGGAAAACTTACAAGGGGAAAAAAACCAAGAAGAAAGCTGACCACCGTTTATAAATGTAAAACACTATACAGCAGGGCAAAAATTATGCAGAAGTACCTCTATATTGAGGCAGTTCTGATGAAATGTTGAGGGACAAGTGTCGCAACATATCAGATCCCCACCATCTCCACAAATGCCACAAACATCATCACCGAGGTCATCACCATTTACATCTACAGAATGAAAACCAATCTGCTCAGACTCCACTTGTCTGTTCCATGCATCTATTTGGCAATGAAGGAGAGAAACACCAGTATCCAAATATATATTCTGAAATGGTTGTCGCAATTTGCTTCCAGCATGAATCTCAAATTTTGAAGCTGTTAGGATTTTACTACAACAACCACAGTGGATTCCATCCCTTGTGATCCAGCCTTCTAGCATCACTCTTGCTCGTCTACGCTTCATATACTGCACCTTTTGGCTCAAGTGCACAGCCCCAGAATCAATCAGCCAGGCAAGCAGTGTTCGTTTCCCATAATATGGAACAAAGTTATCACCCTCCGAACTCGCACCCACATTTGAACCACGAACCAACAAGGTGCATCTGCCAAGTTTTCTACTTTTTCTTCCATGAAGAAGATGAGAATTTGATATAGAGGATGGTTTTTCGTAGCTATTATGCACATGGAGAGAACTTTGAACTTTTGCATTTCCACTGAAGGCATCATTGTCATTCATCCTAGATTTAGATGACTCGCCCTTCATGAAGGAACCTAATTTCTCTTCATGACTCAAGCTATCCATACTCTCTTCTTCATGCCTGATACTTGAAGATTTCCTAGCAACAGGTTCTAGAGCATTCTCACTGCCACTTTCATCTTTTCGCTTATTTTTCATCTCCCTTTTCATCTTCTTTCCTGTTTTCCTTGTTAATTGGCCGAGTACTTCATCTGATAATGGGGTAAATGCAGGACCATCGCCTAAGGGTTTGCGCTCATTGTCCTCATCTAGCTGCTTTTGAAGTGCATCATATGCCTTGATGATGGACCAGTACGCAGTTCCAGCAGGGTTGATGTACACTGCATCCAAGTAATCCCTGTTCCTCCTTGGCCTATAATCTATGGTCCAACCTGCTTCCTGAAGCATCCCCCTTATTCGTTCCCGTAATTTCTGTTTTTCTGTGCCACATCCACGCCTAACTTTTCCTTCTTTGCTTCTGGTAGGCTGAAGCTGCTCAACTTGAGCTTTCTCCTCTTTGCTATTAACCCTCTTTGTTGGATTAGAAGCTTCGGTATCCTTTGGTAACAGCTTCGGAGATGTACCACTGTTCTCTGAATCAGAATCAGATACCTTATTCTTCTTAGTTGTTGGTATCCTTAGCAAACTCTTTTTCTTTTTCTTTTTCCCGCCAAAAGAAACAGGCTTCACAAGAACTTCTGTCTCAGAGCACAATGATGGATTGACATGCAAGTTCTTCCTAATTGCATAATCAATCCTTGAACCAATCTGGCCTCCCTCATCTTCCAAGTGATCAAAATTTTTCAAAGGCTCACCAAACTTCTTTCTCTTGTTCACCATTACCTTCAAAACACCATTTTTTCCCTGAACCCTGATGATTTCATCTGAATCAGCCATATACCTCTCCCTCAACAACTGATAATGCATCGAAGTGCCATCCCTATCCTTCCTAAACCTGTTTCTATCATCATGATCACCCTGACTAATCCCTTCACTTTTATCATAGTACAATTTCTTCTTCTTCTTCTTCTTCTTCTTCTTCTTCTTCTTCTTCTTCTTCTTCTCATTAAAAGCATGCATGCTTGGACCACTACCGTATTCCCTCTCAAAACTCATTTGAGTAAACGCAGGCATTGAACCCAACAATCGCCTCCCGGTTAAATTGTCTCCACCATAATCAATTCTGTTCCTTTTCATAATCATATCCTCATCATATCCATCATATTCATTAACGTCAAAAACATCTAACCTATTCCTCGTACTCTCACTCAAATCCTCATCATTCCAACCAATGAAACCTTCCTCACATGACGCTATCCTCTCCTCCCTGTTCCTCTTCCTACCAATTTCACTCGCTTCATAAAAAGCTAAACCATTAGAAACCTGAAATGCTTCCGGCCCAACCCTCCTCCGAGGTGGCATTAGTAGCTCATCGCTAGAACCTGAATCACTCGTAATCATCCTAGGCCTCTTCTCATCTGTTTTAGACCCATAAATCCAACGGGCCCCTGTGGACCCGGCTCCAACCGAACCATCCCCTTTCTTTCTCACGATCAAACACCCCGATTGGCTCCTATTCTTCACCACAATCCCCGAATGCTCACCAAATCTCAATCGTTCATCCATCAAAACCAGACATGCAAAAAAAAAACTAAATTCCTATTATTTTCCTCAAATTCATCAAAAATTAAAACAAAATCCGTTTAAAAAAGAAGAATGAAACCTAAATCTAGCTCTACCACCAGATCTGTGCTGAAAATTTCCCAGAAAAAAAAATAAAAGAAAAAAGTAAAAAACCAGACTGAATAAATACAATTAATTTTATTTAAAAAATGTCTAAAATTTTCAAACGAGATAATGTCTTGCGCTAAGAGTGATACCTCGATGTTGATAAAATACAGTTTCCTTTAACCGGCAATTCGCCGGCGATAACTGACGCAATTCTCCGGCGAAGAAAACTAGGGGAGAAAATTGGGGGGGGGTGAATCAAAGGGGCAGAGAAACAGAGAAAAAATAGATTATATATAATCTGGTAGTATTTGTTATGAATCAAAGCCAGCAGAGCAAAATCCAACGAGGAATGCCAGCTCGTAAGATGAGTCAGCCAAATTTTGTTATTGAATATGCAATGAGGCAATGACGTTGAAAGACTACAATCGTTTTAATGCATCGGCTTGCTTATATAAACGGTAAATTATAAATATTTACCACTCAATTTTTTTATTTCTATTTAGATCAATAAAGTTTTAAAAAATATTAAGGGTAAACTACTCCAATGGTCATTAATATTTAGGTTAGTTTTCATTTTCACTACTGATGTTTCAAAAGTTACAAATTGGTCACTAACGTTCTCGTTTGTTACTTTTATCGATACTTCTCGTTTCATGGAACATGTGTTTGTATTTACAGTAAACCATTTATGTTGGTGCCAATACTTTTTGTCATTGATCAATGCAGGTTTTCAAATCCTATGGTTGGACGCTGCCTCCGATTTTAATTTCGTTGTTGTTTGCCACTGGCCCGAAAGCTTTCCTCATGGCACTAGCACTTCCACTTGGGCAGTCGACGATAACTTTGGCCTTCAAAACGATCTCGGGAAAGCCACGAAGCAAGCAGAAGCGTAATGCCAGGGTGAGGAAAGTGAAAAAATACGCACCGTGAGAAATGTTAAAAGGGAGAGAGAACATGAAGGCTCGAAGGATAGAAAGGGAATGAATGAGGGTTATCAATCATGGACTGTCGATAACGATTATCTCAACGAGAGTGACCAAGGCACGAGTAGCTTTGGTGGATGGGACGAGCTCGATGGCATGGGATCGATGAGAACACCGTCAGCAGTTGAAAATGGACGACAACAGACCGCAAAGGTGAAGGACAAGTCTAGTATGGAACAAAGCAAAAGCAATGAACCTTTTCTGTTGAGATTGTAGATTGTTGTGCTCCCATTTTTAAGTTCGTGGACTAAGTTGTTTTGGTGACTACGTTTACTGCAAGCCTAGTGGTGGAACATGACATCTTTGATTTCTTGTGTGCAGCATATTTGCTCGTTTCGGTTCCGGTTCCGGTTCTCAGCCGTGTTTGAGGCCAGAATCACACGTGTATGCGTCTGAATAATACTTATTGAAAATTGATTCAAACCACACTATTTAATTCCATTTTCTTAAATTCGATTTGACTTTCAGCATTTTTAGATTGATTCATAAATCCACGACAGTTAGATGAACAATTAAATGTACATTGACACATGGATTAATTAAAGAACACTTTAGGTATTCTTTCAATTAAAATGTATACATAAAGTATTTTTTATATCAAAATACATACTTCAAATATTCAATTTTTTCCATCTAAGTTCTGACAAAGTTGACACATGGATTAATTAAAGCATAAATTAGCTACTTAAATCAAAAGGATAGTATAATTTAGGTACCTATTTTGACCAAAATGGTAATTTTAGGTGCTTAAATGAAAAATATAATATACTTTAAGTAATTATTTATGATATAAGCCTAAAAATATATTTCTCAAGTTTCTTGGAACACAAGCTACTTTACTTATAAATACCGTTCACAATTTGGAAAAAAAAGAACCCTGCGATTTTTGTTTTCCTTTTCAAATTTCAATGACAGTGCAAGCTACGATGACAAAAAGAAGAAAGGAATCGCCATTAGCATCAAGGGTTGATGAACTTCCTGCGCATATCTTGAGATCAATCTTCAACAGGTTAAGTTTCAATGATCTTGTTCAAGCCAAATCCGTTTGTCGTTCATGAACTTACTTGGAGATGAGCTTACTTCAAAGATGCCGTGACTCGTGATGATATCATCGGTGAATAATCCGAGAGCTTTGTAGATTGGGTAGCTAATGGAGATTTTCTTCTTCCGATAATCGTCAAGTCAAACTAGTTCGTTATAGATCCGTGATAGAATTCATTTCAACCACAAGAAGAAAAAATTGAATCCATCCGAATGATAGATTCGAGATAATAAAAATAAATCGGTCGAAGGTCTGGCTTCTACTAGAGGAAAAGCAAATTTTCAGCTCATGTTATATCCGATGATACGACCGCATTTGCTTTAATCATGATGAATTCATTAGGTGGTGTAAATTGGTGCCTATAGCTAATTCATTTTGTAGCTCTGATTGCCTCTATCTGGAAAAAAAAAAAGCCATAGGGATTTCGATTCCTAATGCTTGTAAATATTTCATAAATAGATTTATGTCATCTTATTGAGATCCCCTTAACATTATTGGTATTCATGTGTTTCTTCGTGCTTCGGTATAGCATCTTTTTGGGAAATACATAAATGTGCATTCACAAATTTATCATTTCATGTTATGGAACTTTTGTCTCGTATATTATTATTAGTTTAAATATTGAAATTTTATATTTTTAGATCACTTCAAGTAATATTAAATTAAAATTTTGGACAAAAATTTACTTGGAAATTAAGTTTTTTTTTCTTGAATCATAGAAGAGGGAGGGGCTTCAAAAATTTACTTGGTGCCAATGATATCATCACGAGTCACTTTGGATGCAGTTCAGTCCATTCTCTAAAAAAATTCACGACCTATGTGCTTATTAATTTTTCATCATATCAATAATAATAATATCATCGCGTTAACTTTTTTGTATTTATAACTAAACAAACATTTAATTATTTTGTACAAAAATATATCATTATTTATAAGAATTAAAAATAAATGTATTTTAATTTATTAAAACTAGGATCAAATTGAAAGAATATATAAATAACATGGACTATTTGTGTAATTATAGCATCCAGGTAAGCCTGTTAATTGTTGTTAACAGGCCACGTGTGTTTTCTTCACGCCTGTTAACGGCGAGTGACCAATTTATAACAAACGATAATGTTAGTGACTGATTTGTAACTTTTGAAACATCAGTGGTGAAAATGAAAACTTACTCAAACATTACATTAATGACCATTGGAGTAATTTACCCTTTTATTAAAAGATTGGCAAAAGGTTGAGTTTTATATATAATATATTGTTTGAGATTCTAGGATCAAATCTTATCATATAACAGACAATAAATTAACATCCAGCTCAGATTATTGTCAATTTTTTAACATAAAGCCGAGTTTAAAACATAATGAATAGTCGAGTGACTATTTTGTAACTTTTAATATTCTATTGACCCAACAAAGGAGCAACATATTATAGTCAGGGTTGTTTTATAACTTTCGATAGTTGATAGACTCGTTAAAGCAACGTCCTATAATCGATGATCATTTGTATACTTTATCCTCTAGTTTTTCGTTCGAGTTGGCGAGAATTTTCATCTAAAAACCGCCTTCTTTAGGATCATGCGTAAATCTAGACTCGAGTCTATATATCACGTTTGTAAGGAAAGAAAATGTCCACGCTTATCCCTAATCAAGATGATTTTATTGTTAACTTAAAATATTATGTACCTATTTTGCTATATTAGGATCATTTCTCATCGAAAATGGATTGAAAAATATTAAGAGAAGATCACATCTTTAAATATTTTAAATTATCGTACAATTTAATATTTTATATTTTCTATCAATACTATGATTGTCTTAAAATTTTATAATTTCATATCTCTAATATTTTAATATAACTTTCTAAAAGTTATTGAATAAAAATAATATTTTTCATAAATATATCCAAATCAAACTTGAAAAAATGGATTCCTAATAAATGAAAAGAACAAAATTTTTGTCTCCAGTAATGGGCAGACATTGTTCTACAGAGCTGCAACTGAATAATCAGACAGGCTTTTGCCTTTTGGATTTATGGGTAAAATCCAAACCTTTTCCCTCTCCCTTCTTATCTTTGCTAGCTCCCTTGGGTGCCTGAGACAGAATGATCGGAAAGATGTTCCGATTAAAACGGTAAACATGGCAATGCACAACATTCTCAGATAAACATAAAACTGGTGTTGGTTTTACCTCGGCAGAGAAACTCTTGAGAGGATCTCTGCTTCTTCTGTTTCTTTTCTTGGCACCCTGGCGTCGACCTGATTTGTTCTCTCCCATTGCAGCCCTGGTCAGCTTGACCATTTTGCTGGCGTCACGTGTTTTTTGGTCTAATAGATAGTCGGGCACATCACGAAGATGGGGAGCGGGAGGGTCCTTGCTCAGAACCTTGTCGTGCTTCAATAAATCTGGCACGGTAAAATACACGAGACATAAGGATTCAGGACGTCGTAACAAGAGTAGAAACAACGAAAGCATTGGCCTACTGTGTTTGTTACCTAGATCTCTTGGATTCACTTCAAAATGAGCCTTCAACCTAAACAAACAAAAGGAACCAACTCAAAAAAAAAAACGAAAGACAAACTCGACAACAAGGCTAAATTACAGGCTCGCTTTTGATATCTTCGACAAACAATAGTGACTCACTTTTCAGAGTTGAGAATTTCATTCCTTAAATCCTGAGCTCGTGATTCTCTAACAGCAATTCTTGTCACACTCCTTGCCACATCCTGCAACATTTCCCCTCTCAAAATAAGCAACATGCACGTAATCCATAAACCACTAAGCACTGAAACAGATGGCTATTTAATGAAGCTATCCACCCAGATTTATAAAAGAAATATGGATTAAATATGAAAACAACGAATTTGTAACAACACCTCAGCCCTGTATCGTAAAGACTCCACCGCATCCTTGGTCAACAATGAAAATGGCATGATTATATTTGAGTCATTGTCTTCACCCAAGAAGGATTTAATTTCTTCGAAAATCTCCATCTCATCTGGCGAAACCTGTTAATGAAAAAAATGATTAATTGGCAAGAACTACGAGTAATGAATTGAAACAAAATGAATTTCACTACAATCAGAAATGTCATTCAACATTCATCACATCATTATTAGACGAATCTAGCCTATATACAGACAATATTAGGTGATGTAGTTTAAGGGGGAATACCAACAATTGAAAGAAATAACGCTGAAAGAACGAGTTTGGAAAGAATTAAAAGAATAATTGTTTTGCTGTAAAGCCTACAACTTATATATATAGGCTTGCTTTC